TGGAAACAGCAGCCATAAGGGTCTTGGGATTGTGTCCTGGTACCAACAATGAACAGGAAGTGCCCTTAAACCTCTGATCCATAGACATAAATGTCCACCTGCAGATCCAGAACTGATTCTTGAGTGATCAGTCTGTAAAGGAGACCTTCCTGCGCATATCTGGGCTCCAGGCTGAGGACAAGGCTGGTCATTAATGTTGGATTTAGACAGTCCTCTGGAGGCCCCCACGGTGCTACAGTCTGTGGGGAAGTGAGACAGGAACATTTCAGGTCTCCTAGGAGCACGACCCTACAGCACCTCCTACAACCAGGAAAACTGGGCTGTTTACCATTTGTGGTCACGTTTGCTTGGGCTGCTGCTAACCAGGGCCCAGGTCTCAGGTCAGGGACAATGATTGAGAGAATGCAGCTTTGTTTCCTCAGAGTCAGCCCTCAGAGAAAGCCCACAGCAACAGCATTGTCAAATTGCCTCAAAAAAAAAAAAAAAAAAAAAAAAATCAGAAAGTCCTTGGTTCCTGGAACAGGCTGCCCTGGGAACAGAGCCAAAATTGGTCAGGGCAAGCAGGGACACAACTGTGTAGAAAACAACAAGTTTTACTTATGGAGATGATGGTTGGCTTTATAAAATGAGAAATATGTCACACTATTCACTAGTAAAAGTAAGTCTACCAATGCTATTCATTTCCCTATATCACTACATTGAGTAAAAGCTCTGTAAAATGTATGAAACCACTGTAGAGATAACTTTTGCTGAATTGCTGCCTTTAACATGTCATGGATCTTTTATTCTTCTTGCAAAATTCTCATTATTCACCACCATTTTGAACAGCCCCTAGCTGCCCTTCAACCCAGATCCTCAGCTGGCCCCTTCTCCACGATGCCCACCCTGATGGCACATGTGGGCAGTTAGATTTTTCTAGATTTTAAAAGTTATATATGTCCATGTCTACATCCCATGGACCAAGGCTCATTCGGGGAGTGAGAAATCACAATAATCATGCCTAGCCTTGTGGAATTAGTGTCCAGCAATCAGACCACGGAGGTGTGAGTAGAGACAGTGACTAATAAGCTGCAGAGATCAGCTGGGCCCTGGGGAGGTGAGTGTCCTCTAACCAGCATGGGATGCAGGCGGTCTGCCCTATGGTCCCTACACAGCTGCTCAGTAAGGACCATTCACTCAAAGAAATCCAAGACTAGGGGCTAAGATCCTGTGCTCACTGATGGGGACTTAGCATCTATGTCCTCCCATGGTGTGGCAGAGTCTCCTGAGCAGGAACGTGTGGATGGTTTCAGTAGGTGTTTTCTTCTAGAGCCCTCCGAAGGGGAAAAGCAAAACGTCCTCCTGCTCAGTCTGCAGAGTGAGCTGAGCTGCATCCCCAGGGCTCAGGGAGGGGCTGGGCAGTCCCTGGGTGGAAACACATTTGCATGAGCAGCCCCTCCTCTGCAGAGGGTGGGAAGAAAAGGAAGCCTGGGGCAGCCCAGTCCCACTGCAGGGAAAGAGGCTGTGTCCACCATGGCCTGGACTCCTCTCCTCCTCCTGCTCCTCTCTCACTGTACAGGTATGAAAAGACCTCAGAGACAAGGGCCAGCACCTAAGCCTGATTGTGACTCTTCTGGCAAAGATCCCTGAAAAACTTGACCCTGGTTTCTGCCTTAGCACCCATTAATGTCTGTGTTTCCAGGTTCCCTCTCCCAGCCTGTGCTGACTCAGCCGGCCTCCCTCTCAGCATCTCCTGGAGCATCAGCCAGTCTCACATGCACCTTCAGCGGTGGCATCAATGTTGCTGGCTACTACATACACTGGTACCAGCAGAAGCCAGGGAGTCCTCCCCGGTATCTTCTGAGGTACAAATCAGACTCAGATAAGCACCAGGGCTCTGGAGTCCCCAGTCGCTTCTCTGGATCCAAAGATGCTTCAGCGAATACAGGGATTTTACACATCTCTGGGCTCCAGTCTGAGGATGAGGCTGACTATTACTGTGCCATTTGGCACAGCAGCGGTTCTCACAGTGACACACACAGATGGGGAAGTGGGACAAAATCTCACCCTGCTCTGGGTCTTGCTCCGTAACAATTTTTAAATTGTAAAATAACTGGGCTAGGCACAAACTACATTTGGATGTACTTTCTAGTTGTTAAAGGCTCTTCTGTCAATTTCCCATCCATTTTTCTGATGTCTCAGTAAAATAAAAACAGAACAAAAGAAAACCACCTGATGACCCTGAAGTGTTGGCTGCGTGTCCATGTGTGCTAACATCAGTACCTGTGGAGCTGGACTTTTTTCCTGAAACAAGCAAAATGAGGCTTTCTAAGCTCACAGCATGCTCAGAGCCTGGGGACATGGTAGCAGGTGAACAGTCCCCTGCAGCATGGACTCTGCTCTTGCAGCGTACAAGCAAAGACCTCCCCTTCCATCCCCAGTAGTCTGTTCTCAGGGATATCTGAGGCTCACTGTGTCCCAGGAACAAGTCACTCAAATATGAAATGCTGCCTGAGGACACAGGTCAGGGAGGAATTCCGGACAGAGAGCTGACCTGGCTCAGTCCTGGGTACCTGCATTTCAGTGGAAATGTCAGGAGATGGGGTTAGGTCTGAGGGTAACTGCAGACCTGGGGCCAGTAAAGTTCTGTGTAGGACATGAGAGAGTCAAGGGGAGGCTCCGCCATGGCTGAGCGAGGCTGAGGCTGCTCCTTGGCCACGGGGGAGGTAGGTCCCAGGGATGTGACTTTCCTGCAGCTCATCCCACTCAGACCACAGCAACTGCTGGGGGTGGGTTTCCTGATGCCTCAGGGCCTGACTGTGTTCTCTTCTCCTCTCTTACACCATTGAAGCTTCTTGCTGAGTCAGGGTCTAGTGGTGAGTCTGTGGAATATCTGGGTACAGAAACCGCCCAATATTTGCTTCAAGTGACTCCTCCCTGGAAAATTCTTGAGGAGGCCCCCATCTCAAGGTCACCTTTTTCTGCACAGGGAGCAGCAAAAACATTGGGCATTCCTATGTAAACGGCTATGGAGGCCTCCCAGAGAGAGCCTCTAAGTTTATGACCTAGGACACAAGTGATGGTCCCTCAGGGGTCCCAGCCTGATCCTCCTGCTCTGGGTTTATTCACACAGCCTCCTAGACCACCTCTGGGCTCCAGCCTGAGGACCTGGCTGGTTATCAGTGTCACACAGCTGCACCCTGACTCCATGTTGCCAAAGGTTACTGTTCCACAGGGAAATGAGAGAAGATCCGCCTCACTCATCCTCTCTGCCCGTCCCTCCTTTATCCCTGCCTGTGACCAACGCCAGTTCATGCCAAGGCTTCTGCTGTCACTTGTGTTACTGAAACAGACCAGAAAGTTCAGTAAAAAAAATTCCTTTTCTTACTGGTCTCCGAGTGCAAACAGAATCAAATTGTTTCTAGAAACAAAAGGAGCTACCCACACATGGGGGGTGTGGATGAGGTAGGGACAAGAAAAAATCCAGCCTGTGTGACTCAGAGGCCCAGGAGCCCTTAGATTGGTCCCACAGGTGTCCCCTCCTCTTGGTGAAGGTATGCTGACCATTTCCTGAGCTCAGAAACTGGGAGAAATGACGAGAATGAAGAATCCAGCCTGTGGGACCCACAGATGTGAGAGAGGAAGTCTGATGCTTAAGAAAACGTGGGCTCAGTATTCTGAAAGTTCTGGATCTGGCTTGGCCTAGAGCTGGTGTAGAAGAGAAGCAAGAGAGATGCTCAGTCTTGGGTGGCCCAGGCCCAGCTGTCCTGTCAAGGGGCTGAGTTCTCTGCAACATGGATATCCTGCAGAGACATCCCTGGGGAGGCTGTGAACCCAGAGTGATGCAAAAATGCTAATGGAAGTGAATAGGGGATGGTTTATGGGGGGATGAGGAGACGGGTGTGGGGTCAGATATGATAAGGAGGGTGCAGCCTAAAGAGGGGACTATACATTGCAACTCATGGGAGGAGGTGGCCCGGGGCCTCCTGCAGTGATAAAAGGAAGACCTGGAAGGACCTGGGCCCTAAAGACACATGGGGATTGGGGTTTTGGTCTGCCTCTGAGGTCCCTGAGGAGGATCATATAAAAAATCCATGGTCAGTGTCCTCTGTCCAGGGCTCACTGTCCCAGCTGGTCCCTCCCAGATTCTCTGGGTGGCCAGGTTCCTTAGTTGTGGACCTGTTCTTCTCTCTGTCGTCAGCCTAAGAGCTGAGGGGGCACCCACTAGGAAGCGCATCCATGGGCAGGGAGGGGGCCATGGGCAGCCTTGTCCTGTATGTGAGACACTGCTCAGCCTCGGTGACCCCCTGTTCATTAAAGTGGGAGGAAAGGAAAACAAAATTCACTGTGGATATCTATGCATCACCAAAGAAACAGCAATGAGAAGGAAACAGGAAGCGAAGCCCAGATCTAATAGTTTGTTTCTATTTGGAAATAAATAAAACTTAATATGCCTGATGTGTTATGTAAATGCAATAAACATTTTTTTAAAACTATAAAAATTATGTAAAGGAACATGGCTTACACTAAAAGGAACATTTAAAGTAATGACACGCTTGAAATGCAATCCCAAAACAAAGCATACATTATATTTCAGTTCCATATATGGACTGGTTTTATTTAAATGTCTGTAATAAATCTCACTATTCCATTTTTAAATGGAGCATTTAAAATCTCATTCTACTGCAACTGCCTGGTGATACATTCACCAGTGGAAATATCAGCATAACCATCCAGCTGTTTTCCTCCATCCCCATAAAATTCCCCAAACAAATATTTGTTAAGAGTCCAGGGTGTATCATGCTAGAACTTATGTAGTCATACACATAACCTGTTTCATTTTTCATTTTGACCAACAGAATTACGTTTTTTCTTAAGCTGGTTGTTTTTAGCTTATTAGATTCTAGATGTCATTACAGATCAAAGATAAATAATATCTATCATCTTTAAGCCCCACCCCCGCTCCCCCCCACCCACCGGCCCTGCAACACTCACTACTAAATGTGAACCATAATTTTTCCCTGAAAATCCTGGCTGAGGTGCTCGATGCTAAGAGCTACCGTGTGTCAGGCTCACCTGAGGACAGACTCTGATCAAACCAAGTTGAACTTTTAATTCCTCCCATCTTCAAAGACTGAGCATCTTTGCTCTTTTTGCTCATAAGTGAAACACTCCAGAGTCATTTGCCGGGATCCGCTGCAGATGGGTATTCAGTGCTTGGAGGACAGACTCCTAGGCAAGATCCCTGGTCACAGTATCCAAATGACTATGACTGCAAATCTGGGGAAGTAGAGAGAGAACAAAGATTGACCACAAAAACCCTCTGGGAATTCCTCCCCAGGGCATCCTAGAGGAAAGAGCTCCCTTTCGCCTCAGCGCTGCAGGATCCACAGAGGAAGTGGAGCTTTGGCCACCAGGAAGGAGCCATATGAGAGGAGAGGACCCGGTGTCCAACACAGGTGGGGAAGTGAGTTCATGGGGCTGGTCCCTGCTCTGGGCTTGATCCTGACATAGGACTTTATGTAGACACCACCTGAGTCCTCTACAATGTACAGCCAAAGAGCCATGGACAGATTCACTCCTGAGGAGTCTGAAGACTCCTCAGTAGAGTGTGAAGACCGCCCTGAAGTCACAGGGAGGAGACACAGACACCACTTGGCCTGGCTTGGACCTGAGAGAGGGGGCAGTGGACAGAATGGGGGGAGGAAGCCGTGTATGTGAGAGGCTCTGGTCACCTGATCATAGAAGGGTTTTCCTTGTTCTGGGCACCAGGGGGCGCATGGGGATCATTCCTGAGAAGACAGAGGGTGATTAGAGCAGAACCAGCCACCTGCCCTGCCTGGTGTCCTCTGCTCAGGGCTCACAGCTCCGTCCTCCCCACCCCCTAGGACCACAAAGCTCCACCCCTGCCACCCCCTGACATCCTCAAGCCGAGGAGCCTGGCCCAGGGCTCAGGGCGGGGTCACAAAGCTGGGGGGTCTGATTTGCATGGATGGACTCTCCCCCTCTCAGACTATGAAGACAAGGAGAGATTTGGGGGAAGCTCAGCTTCAGCTGTGGGTACAGAAGGCAGGACTCAGGACAATCTCCAGCATGGCCTGGTCCCCTCTCCTCCTCACCCTCCTCACTTACTGTGCAGGTGACAGGATTTGGGGCCAGGAGAGGAGCCCTGGGAAGCCCATAGGACCCTGCTTTCTCTTCTTGTCTCCTTTTGTCTCTTGTCAATCACCTTGTCTGTGTCTCTCTCACTTCCAGGGTCCTGGGCCCAGTCTGTGCTGACTCAACCTCGCTCAGCGTCTGAGGCCGCCAGGAAGAGTGTCACCATCCCCTGTTCTGGAAGCAGCTCCAACATCGGAAGTAATTATGTATCCTGGTACCAGCAGCTCCCAGGAACAGCTCCCAAACTCCTCATCTATTATAATGATGAACGAGCCTCAGGTGTCTCTGACCGATTCTCTGGCGCCAAGTCTGGCACGTCAGCCTCCCTGGCCATCAGTGGGCTCCAGACCGAGGATGAGGCTGATTATTACTGCGCAGCATGGGATGATAGCCTGAGCGGTCCCACAGTGCTCCAGGGCCAGGGGGAAGTGAGACAAGAACCCCCTTCCTCCTCTGCCCGAAGGGTGATCCCTGGCACCTGCTGCTCAGGCCTGGCCTGCGGCTTCTGCTGCTGTAGCTTCCCCCATGGGTCCAGGGGCATCCAGGGCTCTGCCTGAGAATGGAGGCTCCTCCTCCCCTTTAGTCCTCAGAGTCAGGAACAGGGTGTCCAGAAAACAGAAAGTTCTGTTCCCTGCAGCTTGGGACCCAGGGTGTCTGCACTGAAGTCCTGGGCTGAGGTGGCAGGTCCAGCTGTGTCATCACAGACCCACCTCTGATGGGGAACCTGTGTCTCCGTCATCCTCCTTTTCCCATTTCCAGGAGTTTCCAGAGTGCTGCCTTCCTCCTCCTGTTCCTCAGTTTGAATCCCTGTGCTTCCTTTCTCTCAAGCCTATTCTTTTTTTAATACAACTCCTTTCATGTAGGAATAATGCACATATAATAAACCACCCATATTTACAATAGGGAATTAGACAAATTTTGGCATTTCTCTGGATCCTTGAAAACATCACCAGCACCGGGAGCTATACAACCTGTGACCAACCCCAGCAGCTCCTCATGACCCTTGTCACCTCACTTCCTCCCCCAACACTCTCCTTGGAAGTTGCAGATCTGCCTCTGTCACTACTGTTTGGTTTCCGTTTTCTGGAACGTATCAGTGTTATCAAATGTTATCCTCCCATTTGTTCAGGCTTATTTCACTCTGCACACTTCTTTTGAGATTCTCACTGTTGTTGCTGAATTGTACCCATCCCATAGAGGGCTCATTACTATCTTTGAGAGTCCTTAGACCATTTTTTTCCTGATTTTATTTTTGTATTTATTTTCAAGTTTGAATGTATTGTGCATCAAAATCAAACTTTAGGGGCAATGTTCATCTAAGGTGACAGGAGATTCTATGATGGCTTGTCGGGATTCTTGCTTCTTCATCTCTTGCCTCTGATTCTCTCTATAGTGGAAGAGGTTCTCATCTTTCATTTATTTACTTATTTATTTGGGTTTTTAAGGGTTTTAGTGATTTTTCTCTTTTTGATTATTTTTCAATTTTTTTATCTTAATAGGTTTTTGGGGAACAAATGTTGTTTTGTTACATAAATAAGTTCTTCAGTGGTGATTTGTGAGATTTTGGTGCACTCATCACCCAAGCAGTGTACACTGTACCCAACGTGTAGTCTTTTATCCCTCTCCCCTCTCCTACCCTTTCTCCTCAGTCCCCAAAGTTCATTGTATCATCGTTATACCTTTGTGTTCTCATAGCTTATCTCCCACTTATGAATGAGAACATACCATGTTTTGTTTTCCATTCCTGAGTTACTGCACTTAGAATAACAGCATCCAGTTCCATCCAGGTCGCTGTGAATGCCATTATTTTGTTCCTTTTATGGCTGGGGGTAACATTCCCTGGTATGTGGATGTATACATCACATTTGCTTTATCCACCTATTGATTTATGGGTATTTGGACTGGTTCCATGTTTTTACAATTGCAAATTGTGCTGCTATAAACATGCGTGTGCAAGTATCTTTTTTGTGTAATGACTTCTTTTTCTCTGGTTACATACCTAGTCCTGAGATTGCTGGATTGAAGGGTACATCTATTTTTATTTCCTTAAGGAATCTCCACACTGTTTTCTATAGTGATTGTACTAGTTTACCTTCCCACCACCAGTGTAAAAGTGTTTTGTTTTCACCACATCCATGCCAACATCTATTATTTTTTGATTTTTTAATTATGGCCATTTTGTGGTAGTAATGTGGTATCACATTGTGTTTTTGATTTGCATTTCCCTGATTATTAGTGATGTTGAACATTTTTCTATATGTCTCTTGTCCATTTGTATACCTTCTTTTGAAAATTGTTTATTCACGCCTTTAGGGGATGTTTATTTTTTCTTCATAATTAGTTTGAGTTCTTTGTAGACTCTAGACATTAGTCTTTTGTGGATGCATAGATTGTGAAGATTTTCTTCCACTCTGTGGGTTTTCTGTTAACTTTGCTGATTCTTTTGTTGTGCAGAAGCTTTTTAGTTTAATTAAGTCCCATCTATTTATTTTAGTTCTTGTTGCATTTGCTTTTGGGTTCTTGGTCATGAAGTATTTGTCTAAAGTAATGTCTAGAAGGGATTTTTTTATGTTATCTTCTAGAATTTTTACAGTTTCAGGCCTTAAATTTAAGTCTTTGATTCATCTTGGGCTGATTTTTGTATAAGATGAGAAATGAGGATCCAGTTTCATTCGTTTACGTTTGGCTTGCCAGTTATCCCAGCACCATTTGTTGAAAAGGATGTCATTTTTCAACTTTATGCTTTTGTTTGCTTTGTCAATGATCAGTTGGTTGTAAGTATTTGGCTTCATTTCTGGATTCTCTATTCTGTTCCATTGGTCTATGTGCCCATTTTTGTACCAGTACCAAGCAGATTTAGTGACTATGGAGTCAAACTTTACTAGAGTATAGTTTGAAGTTGGGTGATGTGATGCCTCCAGATTTATTCCTTTTGCTTAGTCTTGCTTTGGCTATGCGGGTCATTTTTGGTTTCATATGAATTTTAGCATTGTTTTTTCCAGTTCTGTAATGAATGACAGTGATATTTTGATAGGAATTGCATTGAATTTGTCGATTGCTTTTGGCAGCATGATCATTTTCAACATATTGATTCTACCCATTCATGAGCAGGGGATGTGTCGTCTATGATTCTTTTCAGCAGTGTTTTGTAGTTTTCCTTGTAGAGATCTTTCACCCCCTTGGTTAGGTAGATTCCTAAGTATATTTTTTGCAGCTATTTGTAAAAGGGGTTGAGTTATTGATTTGATTATCAGCTTGTTCACTGTTATTGTATAACAGAGCTACTGATTTGTGTGCCTTACTTCTGTATCCTGAAACTTTGCTGTATTTATTTACCAGTTCTAGGAGCTTTTTGAATGAGTCTTTAAGGTTTTCTAGGTATATGATCACATTATCTGCCAGCAGCAACAGTTTCACTTCCTCTTTACCAATTTGGATGTCCCCGATTTCTTTCTCTTGTCTGATTGCTCTGGCTAAGACTTCCAGTACTATGTTGAATAGAAGTGGTGAAAGTGGGCATTCTTGTCTGTTCCATTTCTCAGGGCAATTGTTTTCAACTTTTTTCCTTTCAGTATAATGTTGACTATGGGCTTGAAATAGTGGGATTTTCTTACCATAAGAGATGTCTCTGCTATGTCAATTTTGCCAAGGGTTTTAATCATGAAGTGATGCTGAATTTTGTCAAGTGCTTTTTCTGCATCTATTGAGATAATCATGTGATTTTTTTTTAAAATTTTCTTTATGTGGTATATCACATTTATTGACTTGTGTATGTTAAACCATCTCTGCATCCCTGGTATGCGACCCACTTGAACATGGTGGACTATGTTTTTGATAGCTGTTGGATTTGGTTAGCTAGTATTTTGTTTAGGATTTTCGCATCTATGTTCATCAAGGATATTGTTCTATAGTTTTCTTGTTTTGTTATGTCCTTCCCTCATTTTGGTATTAGGGTGACATGGGCTTCAAAGAATAATTTTTTTGTTTTTTTTTATATCTGTCACATCTTTTTCAAAGAATAATTTAAGAAGGATTTCCTCTTTCTCCTTCCTGTGGATTAGTGCATTAGTCAAGGTTTTCTTTTTTTTTTGAGATGGAGTCTCACTCTGTCGCCCAGGTGGAGTGCAGTGGTATGATCTCTGCTGACTGCAAGCTCTGCCTCCTGGGTTCATGCCATTCTCCTGTCTCAGTCTTCCAAGTAGCTGGGACTACAGACATCCGCCGCCATGCCTGGCTAATTTTTTTGTATTTTTAGTAGAGACGGGGTTTCACTGTGTTAGCCAGGATGGTCTCGATCCCCTGACCTCCTGATCCACCTGCCTCTGCCTCCCAAAGTGATGGGATTACAGGCGTTAGCCACCATGCCTGGCCTAATGAGGGTTTTCTAGATGGACAGAACTAATGGAATATATGTATATATATACACACACAGACACACATATATATAGCATAATCACAACGTCCCACAATAGGCCATCTGCAGGCTGAGGAACAAGGAGAGCCAGGCCGAGTTCCAAAACTAAAGAATTTAGAGTTCCACATTCAAGGGCAGGAAGCATCCAGCATGGGAGAAAGATGTAGACTGGGAGGCTAGGCCTGTGTCTCTTTTCATATTTTTCTGCCTGCTTATGTTCTAGCCATGCTGGCAGCTGATTAGATTGTGCCCACCCAGATTAAGGGTGGGTCTGGCTTTCCCATCCACTGAGTCAAAGGTTAATCTCCTTTGGCTACACCCTCACAGACACACCCAGGAGGGTGTGTCTTTTTTATCCTTCAGTCCAATCAAGTTGACACTCAGTATTACTCATCACAAGTCCACCCCTTGTCAACCTCAACCCAAATATATCTTCTGAGTTCATACATAATTTTCAAATAAAGACAATAATAAGGTCATAATTACACCTAACATAATACAACTATCCTTCGTACAACCAGAAACACATCAATCCCCAACCCAAATACTGTTACATAAAGTTAACAATACTTAAATGCTGATGTGAAGACAATATGTCATATGATAAAGGAGAAAGGAGATAAAATGAAGATATTTTCTTAGAACAAGTGTATACATGCACAAATGTGTTTTTAACAAAAGAAGGAGGAAATACTCATGACAATTACACTCCTCGTTTCTGCAGCTGACCATAGCTGGTACTGATGATTACTTTCTTCTACTACACATTCTGTATTCCCTTTGCCTTCAACAAGCACCTCAGCAGGTCATGGGTTTTTTTCCAGGTGGAGTGACCCAAATCTTCATTCCTGAAGGGTCTGGTTCATTTGTAATCCTGCCTGGATTGGGCTGTTGTAGTTTTCCATTGTCCTTGAAAGGGCATGGCAATACTAAGAAATGCCCTAATGACCCTCCTGTATTCCAAGCATACTCCTCCTTACCTCCATTATGGAGTAGTAAACTGATTTCATCTTGATAGTCTGTGGCAAACACCCCAGCCAACACTGTAACTCCCTTCTTAGCCTGTTGACTTAAAGGTAGGAGGAGCCCAAAGTGTCCAGGTGGCAATCTTAACTTCCAGTTTAATGGAATCATTGATGTGTCTCCAGGTGGCAGTGTTCCTTCCTCTGGAACTAAATCCTCTAAACCAGCAGAACATAATGTCGCAGGAATAGGAAGTAAAAATTTTGCTAGTGAACCACTAGGTGATGGTGGGTTGTGCCACTTCCACTTCCACCCCTTGATTCCTGGACCCATGGATCCTGGCTATGGGAGGAACAGTACCATATATCAGATGCTGACTCACAGAATACACACCTTCCAGAGAACTTAGCCCCAGTCTTGCAAAGTATTGTCACCTAGTTGGCATTGTAATTGTGACTTCAAAAGACCATTCCACTGTTCTATCAATCCAGCTGCTTCAGGATGATGGTGAACATGGTAGGACCAGT